GATGGGGCTGCTGTCTCTCCCAGGACCTGATACTTTACTTAAATCGGTTCAAATTTCTTTCCTTCAAATTAGTTTCCTACTTAATAATTTGCCTTGAGCCTGGGCCTCCAGAGCAGGAGAAAAAAAAGAAAAAAATCCCCAAGACATTCCCTGTTGTCACAGGACAAAAACTTGCTGGAGGCCCACCTTTAGTTATCATCCACCAATGGGAAGCTGGGACAGAGGCAGGCGCTTGGCCACTCCTCAAAGCCAATCAGCAAGTTGAAAAGAATGAGCCAGTATCTCTTCCAAAGGCGGTTCTGGATTGGTCACAGCAGGGGCCTGCTGATTGTGCAGAACCTAGCAGCTTGCAAAGCTGACTTTTCCGTTTCGCAAACATCCTAGGGGCTGGAGTGATGACCATCAGTGTAAACACAATCTCAGTTCCCCAAGTCCTGTTTTACTGTTTCAGTGCATAAGACACAGAGTATCCACTGAGAGGGCCACTTGCTGACCTAGTCCTCAGGAGGATGGACATTTAGTGTTAGGGAGAAAATGCAATATTAATTTGGAAGACATTTGCTCTGGAGGGTACAAAATTAAGCCTTTCAAGTTTCTTGGCTAAGAGAGTCTAAGACAGCAGAGTGTGTAAGCCTGTAAGAAAGACCCCGGACCTTTTAGGAAGAATGAGACGGTAGCTTCCTCTCTGACAAAGTCTAGATGTCAGTTTCATTTCAGAGGCCCTTATGGATGTTAGCTGTCTTTCTGGCTGGAGTAAGTGTTCGAATGCTCCTCTCTGAACCTCTTTATCTGGCTAGAGTAGGTGTTCGAATGCTCCTCTCTGAACCTCTATATCAAAGGAGCAGACAGCCTCCTTTGGGTGGTAGATAGGAGGAGGTGGGAGGCAGGGAAGACGATGACATGTTCAGGGATGAGGTCTTTGCAACAGTTGGATTCTAGAATTTCTCCTGCTTAGAGATGGGGAGAAGCTCTTTTCTCAGAAAGAACATGTGGATTTGGAATAAGAAAGAAAAAGAAAAGCCAAAATATTCTATTAATATGAGTGATGGTCCTTGGAAACATTACTTTGGGGGATGCTGAGCAGAGTCAAGGGCTTATGAAACCCACAGTCTCTTGAATTGACAAACACAAGGAGTGACATTCCAAGGTCTACAGCGTGAAATGGAAATTATTCCCAGGCTAAAGGTAACTCCAGAAAACCAGTTCTTCTTGACTTCTAAGGCAGGTGCAACTGTGGGTAGCCCAGGTATCCTGTGAAATGATCTTGCCATCATAGGATGGGCTAGGATGACTCATCTCTTTAAACGCATGTTAAAGGCTGGCTACTGTATTTTCTACATTCTGGCTTCATTTTCATAATGATTTTGAAACGCAGAGTGAACAATACCATATGTGTGATGTTTTGGTTGCAAACATGAAAGAAACTGGGTAACAATAAACAGCTGTGGAAGTTAGCATCTGCTGTCAAACCCATGAGCCACTTCAAATTCCTTGGTGAGATAATCTGAGATAAAGATTCCAGTGAGTTTAGCAATTTCATCAAGACATTTTTATTCCACTGTAGATGAATAATGTTAAATAAAACTAGGTAAGGCTAATGGTACAGTAAGGCCAGTAGTTCTCCATCAGGACCCTATCTATTTTTCAGATGAAGAAAACACTTTCCAGAATACAATGCTCAAGAAATGTAAGGCAGATTCCACTTATATGAGGTATCTAAAGCAGCCAAACTCTTAAAAAACAGAAAGCAAAATGCTGGCTGCCAAGGGCTGGGGGGAAAGGGCAAAGGGGAGTTGTTCAGTGGACATAGAGTTTCAGTTTTTTAAGACGGAAAAGTTCTAGAGGTCTGTGGCACAACAGTGTACATTCTATTAACACTGTTGTACTCTATGCTTAAAAATGGTTCAGAGAGTAAATTTTGGGTTATGTGTACGTGTGTTTTACCACAATAGAAAGAAGAAAAGGAAGACATTACAATGGATTGGGAAAATAAGGGTTAGTATGCAAAGGCATTTATCAAGCATTTAATTTTAGACCAGTTTACTGGCAGAAATATTATACTTTTGACTCATTGATTCATTAGCTTCTAGGTGAGATGACAGAGCAGTGAACGTTAGCACCGAGATGTTGGTCAGTGTCTCTTGAGTGACCCTGGAGGTAGATACAAGGATGCCGACTACAGAGGTCACTTTCAGGGTTTTTAGGTCCTAAAATTTCTCAGCAGAATCAAAATGGCAGAAATGGTTCCATAAGTCATGGGCAAGTTTCCACTATAAGAATCATACTCCCAAATTTTCCTGTGAGTAAATGTGACCGCGTCATCCCTGGGGGTATGTAGATCGTGGCAGTAACGAGACCAAATGAGAGAGTCTGTTTCTGTCTGGCCTATCTTTTCTACTGCTGATTGGGCAAAAAGTCGGGTTTTTTGGATGGCGGTGATGGTGGTGAGCATAATACAGTAGAACCTCTGTAAGTTGACCACCCAAGGGACTATAACAACTGGTCAACATAGGGAGTGGTCAGCATAAGGAACTAAGCCTGTTGAATATGTGGATAATGCAGTCTATAAAAATTAGGTCAACTTAAGGAGGTGGTCAATGTAGGGATGTGGTCAACTGTGGAGGTTCTACTATATTTCATTCTGCATGTGAGGGAAGTCATTTCTATAAAATTTTCCGTGGGTGATATGCATTGTGTATTTGTATGCGTATTTAATATGTATTCAGATTAAAATAGTGTTTAAGAATCTGCAAATGAAGTCTTCGTTTGTCTTTCAAAGGGTTGTATCCTTCTCTTTTTCTTATTTTTTAAAGTCATTGATTGCCATGTAAGTTCACATTGCAATTTATGAATACAGAGTACCTTTAATGTTTTTGTTGTTGGCTGAATGAACTACCATTGTTACTGTGGTCCTGGGACCCATCCTCCCATTTAGAGGTCTCCTACCACTGAGAGAAGCCATCTGGCAGCCTGTCCATCTGATGATTCTCAGCATAAGACAGCTCTCAGATCCACTCTCAGGGCAGTGGACTCCCAGGCTGCATGCAAGACTCTGACTGTCAGGGTATTGCACAATGTCAAGACTGACTGTCAGGGTATTGCACAATGTCTAGGGATAGAGGCCATCAACGTTCCACTCCCCACCCCACATCTAGGAAAAGTGCCAACAGTGAAGGTGGGCTAGCAGGTGGATCTGCCCCCAGGCGACCTCAACTCTACCTGTCTGTTGGCTTTTGTTTTATCCAGACAGTGATACTCAGAGGAAGGTGAAGGACAGTGAGAGGCAGCGTATAGGCAGGCAGAGACAGAGCAAGAGGCAACCAGGGGAGACTTGGAGATGCATCAAGAAAAGACAGAACGATATCAGAACTGGGCCGAAGTAGAGCAGCAGAGACACCAACCGAAATGAAAAGAAAAAGACCAGCAGAGTGACCATGTTAGAGAGAACATGTGACATTAGAAAGAGAAAGGAAGATTGAACAAAAAAGTGTGGACCAGAACCTGCATTGAAGGGAGTGAAGGGGAGACAGACATTGACTTTCTGGGCCTGAGACTATCAGGAGGCAGCGCTGTATTTTTCTCCCATGATGGTGAACACCTTCCTCCCGTGTCCAGTACGCAGCTGGTACTGCTAGGCAAAGCTCATTCTCCAAAGAGTTTGGAGAAGTCCAGGCCTGATCATCATCAAATGATGATTGTTAAAGATCCATTTTAGAATCAAATTCAGCTCTATGGATCCTCATTCACTCAAAGACCAGGGTTCTTGCAGCTTTAGCTCTCAGAGCCCATCTATGAACCTGGAAGAAGCCAGAAAGATCTCCGAGCTGGCACCCTTATTAGAACCCAGGTGCTTGACTCCTTGCTGAGTCCTTCGTCTTAACTCTTAATATGAAATTATAATAGTGAAAGACAGGTTATATTGGTAACAGCTGATGCAGTCTAATAGCCTGATTGGGGGAGGGGGTTGGGGAAAAAAACTTAAGAGCCGGACACAGATTTAACAAAGCCTGCCTGAGATCTCCCAGGGTTGGTACAGACCATCCAGCAGAACTCTGAGTAGTATCTGACAGTCAAATGATTGCAGAAATTTCAGAGATAGAAGGAATTTTAGAGATTTTTTTTCAACTCCTTCATTAGAATATTTCTAATGATTATTTTACGAGATTAAATAAAATCTTACGGCATGTGTGACACATATATAAGATAAACAGATGTTGAGTCAATATTTCTAAAATGAAAATGTTGGTATCTGAAAGAGTAGAATTCTGCCCTCTGAAAATTGTTTTCATTTGGAGCACTTAGTTCTCTGATGATGCTGTAAGGGTTATTTTAGCATTAAGACAGCCAGGCATGGGCCTGGGAGCACCTCGTTCACTGGGAGGACCCTCTCAGCCTTAGCTGAGCTTCTCTGTTCAAAGACATGGCATGACTGGAACTGGACCCTTCCAATTTTTCTTCTATGTTAGACCAGTTTTCAGAAAAGAAGGGTTAAGACATACAGGTCATAAAATTACTGATTTTCTAACTGATTCTTCTTCGTGGCTTTAGGAAAAGTCAAGAAATGTATCCATGGCTAATAATATATTTGTTTGGGTATAGCTCTAGTTAGTTTCTATTTGCTAGAGAACCTCTGAAAAAAAAGTTCATTCAGCCTAGCACTTTGGTCCCTTAGGATCAAAGAAACATGTGCCCCATCTTCCTGACATGCCCAACCCCCTATGCTGCCTCCTCTCTCTCTGTTGGCACTTTCAGGTGTGTGTAGCAATCACCCTGTGTTGATGGCGTATTTCAGACTTCTGCATTTCTGCACGTCGCCGGGGACACATTCTGCCTCTGGAGGCATCTGGGATCACCACTGCAGCCCTTTCTTCCAGCCCAGGTCACCTGATGGCATGATGTGTCTACCAGGAAGCTACAAGGGGCAAAGGAGAATCGGGGCTACTCTGATTGTGTCTCTGCCACTGTGTTGGTGGTGCGTGTTTTTTTGCTGGTCTCTGTAGATGGAGTCGAGAATGAAGACTTTCTGGGTCACTGTGCATGCTGGCCCCTGCTCCCCTGGTCTGGGCCAGGCTCTCAGGGAGGCACTCCAGGACGTGAGGACCGCATCAAGTCATGCCTCAGGGCCTGGAAGAGGCTGATGAGGGCCTGGGCCCAGATGTCCTTCTGATAACCTTGGGACAGGGCTGTGCGGTAGGCCGTGTAGGCAAGGGTCAGGACTGTCCTTTCAAAGTCTTCTTTCTTGAGGATGCCAGGGTGGTTGGAGAGGCTGGCACTGAGCCTGCGGATGTCCGGAATGCGCTTGGGAATCACGTCATTGCAGACAGTGTGGAAGTCCAAGGCCTTCCGCAGGGAGGCGAGCTCCTCATCCTTGATGGAGACCTTCAGGTCAGGGCTGATGTCAAGTTCGGCCAGCAGGAACTGGTGAGAAACAAGGGATGTGGAAAAGACATGAAGCCAGGCATTGCTGAGGACACAGTTATAGTCATCATCCATGTATCACTTAGGGAGAGGCTGTGGACATTGCTTTGAACCTCTGGCCTGTCTCTCCCACTTGCTGTGCAACCTTGAATGACTTACTTACCTTCTCTGAGCCTCACTTTCCTTCTCTGTAAAAATGATTAATGGCAACGTCCACTTCAGTGGGATATTGTGAGAGTTAATACAAATATGGACAAGTCTAATATGGTGCCTGGTACAAAGCCAGTATTGAAGTAACTAATTCCTGTTTCTAATATCTTAGATAGATACCTTCTTCCCTTTCTCCCTCACACCCACTAAACGTCTTCTATGGCACAAATTGACTATTTCAGATAATTTTAAAGCAGAGGCTGGGAATTTGAAGGAGGCAGAGAATTGTGCTAGGACCTAAGTGGGATACAGAGATTTGCCCTCACCTCTCACCTGGTCAGGTCGGTCATGCCCATCCCTGCGTGGGACCAGGCTCATAGCCAGAAACTAATAAGTTTCTCCAAATCCTGCCTCTTCTGTCTGTCTCCATCTTCCTGGCTCTGATCCACCCTCTGTGCTGCTGTCTGCCATCTTTCTAAAACACAAGTCTGTTATATGACTCCCACATTCAAGGCAAAGGCTACAACTTTTCCATTCTGCTCCCAAGGCAGAATTTGAAATCTCCTCCCTGGCTCAACTGTGCAGGTGCAGCAGCTGTTTTTTAATTAACCATACAGTCCAGGTGCGTGGAGTTGGGGGTTGGTGAAGCTGCGGGGGAATTTTGGAGATTGTAATTGTGGGAAGTCAGGCCCAGAGAGAAGCAGTAACTTAGGCAAGGGTGCACAGCCGGTGCACAGACCCAGGACGAAAGCTCAGCTCTTGAGCCTGGGATTGTACCAGCAAACTGAACCAAGTGACCTCAGGAAATTCCTGCTTGTGGTTTGGGGGAGGAGTGGGGTCTCAGAGATATGGGGTGACAGGCAGAGGAAGGCTGCCTGTGGAGAGGCCCAGCGCTTCCAGAAGCTGAGCAGGGTTATCTGGGCAGCCAGACAGCTGGGCGGTTGCAGCATGCAGGGCCTCAGGGACTTGTGGCCCCAGGCAACATCTTGGCATTGTCTGGTCACCACTGACAAGTCCTGCCTCAGAGCCTTTGCCTGGGAACATGGCCACTCTCCAGTGCCTGGGTGCTGGGATTCGTGCCGGTGGGCCCATCTTAATGCCTGGTTTGGCCTGGAGTGAACTCTTAATGCCATCACTCCCTGTTATAGCACATGAGAATGGAGAACAGGACAGGGAATACCTCCCCTTGGAATGAGTGGGGTTCTGTGACCTGCCTCACCTGGCCTCAGCCATGTCCTACCACAGCAGGGGCCACTCACGTCCAGGGGGTTGGCTCACTCCTCCTTCTCCGAAAAAGACCACAGTCCCCTCTGCCTACCTCATAGAGCAGCTCCACTTCCTCCAGGGAGGTCTGCAGGACGGGGTTCAGTGGCATGGAGGACGACCGCTTGGGCCGGTGGGCAGCAGGGAAGAGCACAGCTGGAAGAAATGGAAGCGTGAGCGCTGGTTGCTGGGTGTGCCCTGGCCTCTCCTGCGGGTCACCTGGAAGGTGCCCAGGGGGCCTTAAAAACCACTGACTCAGGGTGGGCAGAGATGACAGACACCCGCCAGCCCATGGGTCCCAGAAAGCTTTCAGGTGTGTTAGACCAGTGGTTTCAAAATTGCTGCTTATTAGAACCACGTGAGAAAGTTTAGAAAGTGTATATGCCTGGGAGTTTATATTAAAGCAAAGCAGAATGAAGCAACACTGAAGTGAGTGAGCAAAGAGAAGGCTTCTAATGTAGCGAGTGGATCCCCCAGAAGTACCGTGCCCTTATAGTACTGCGCATCTGAGCACTTTATTCTGTCAGTAGGAGGTGCTGGGAGGTATTTATTCCTATCCCTTTTATCACAAGATCAGACTCCTGGCTACCCCAGCCATCGTAAATACAGCTGCCAAGAATCTGAACACAGGTGACAATGTAGAGGAAGAGCATGCGCAAGGCACAGCCCTGGGGACCAGGTGGCCACCCTCAGGGTTCCCCTCAGGGTTGGCTGATTTAGAAACACGTTTGGTCTAAAGTCAGTGGAGAAAGTTGTTTCCTGGTGTTTACATGCAGAAGTGTAGCTGGGGGAAGGCGGATGGGTCCCCAGAAGCACACAGGCTAGCAAGGTTTGGGCACCGGCTGAGGACACGCGAGGGAGAAGACAGAGCATCAGAGTGTAGGAGTGACGGATCACTATTAAGTGCAGGTCTCTGCGTGTCAGGTTAGGGGCAAACAGTCCCGACCAGCTCCACAGCCCTCTGCCACTGACAGAGGAAGGTGCAGCTTCTTCAAGACATTTGATTGTGATTTTCTTAAAAACCTGGGGAAATAACTGTAAACATCTGAGACTGGGAGGGGAGTGGCACCCCTGGAAGTCGTGTGAGCACACTTTGCATGACCATAAAGGACAGCTCTGCCGGTTGACAATGGTGCCCTTGAGCCCTTGAGCAAGGATCAAATTATGTTCAATGCACTCTGGTAAAGAAGGCAGGGAATGACGTAAGGGTTTCCATCAGAAGTGATAAAAAATGAAAAGGACTTTCCTGAAAAACTCACTGGTGGGAATCTCCCACTTCTAGCAAAAGCCCATGGGATATAGTATTACTGTAATATTGCCATCTCAGTAACTCATGAATGATCAATGCCACACACTCCCCGAGGACTGGGGTAAATGTGGGTTGAGGTTTCTGTGCCCCCCAGCAGAGCCTGGCCGGCATCAGGGGCATGCACTGGGCATGGCAGTTGGCTGACCTCCTTACTATGCTGCGGGAGGCCTTGACCGGCAGATGGACCAGCTCTGCCTCCTCAGGCCAGTCCTGGGGAAGGAGCCTGGGAACTTCAGAGGGTATTTCCCAGCCCAGCATTTTAGAGGAATTTATTCTCTTTGTGATAAAAGACCCAGTTTCCTGCAGAATCATAGACTTTAGGGCTTGAGGAAGCCTTTACTCTTCAACCACTGGTTCTGCCTATAGTTTTAGGAGCAGCTGAGGATACAGAGGTGTCTTGTACTCTAGTGCTTTAAAACCATTAGAATCTCTTGAATCTCTTCAGGGGTTTTAAACACTTATACCAAGGGACCCAGCTTCAAGTTTTGATTTAATTGAACTAGGGGGCAAGGGAGACATTAAGATTTTTTTTAAAGCTTCATGAGGTTGAGAAGCACTGTCCAGAGCTTGACCTGAGGTTGTGTAGAATCCACTGTACCCACTGTGTGGCCACTCTCGGGTAGACCAATGGTTTCCAGCCTTGATGATAGGTCACAACTGCACGGGAGCTTTCAGAAACCCAAATGCGAAAGGTCATATCTCGGGCCAATTTGTGGACATTTCTGGGGATGGAGTGTAGCCTGTGGGACCTTTTGTGGCTCTGGGTGATCACAAGATCACAATGAGCAGCCAGGGAGAATAACCACCGTGCTATCCAATTCTGAGCCTTCCTACCATAAAGCAATTCCAAGCTCATTCAAAAGACCAAGGACATCGTGTTCTCAGAGGCATGGGGTGGAAAGCACAAAGGGGGCACATACTTTGCCTTCTCTTTCCTCTTAGTAGGAGAGGAAACTGTCATTGGTCCGGTATTTGTCAAGGTGTGACCAAGGTAGATGAGACCTCCTTCTCAGGCTGGGATCTGAGAGTGACTTTACTTCCTTAATTCTGCTCCCAGAATTTCTCTTTTATTGCAAAATTAAGGATATTTTCCCCCTAAGCCAAACCAAAACCCATAATGACTCAGCCCCCAGCAGATGAAGGGCTTAGGGAGGGACTGTCAGGGGTGGGGGGTCCTTTCTGCTCCCTGTAGTCTCAGACCTCCTGTGGCCACCTCCCTGGAAGTTATTCCCATCCTAGACCCAGACTTCCTTCACTCAATTGTTTCCCTGTGGACAGCAGCACTCCTCTACCAGGCTTGCCCCAGGTGGAGCCCTGGTTCCCAAGGAGCCGAGAAGAAAACGCTTCCTGATTCATAGCCGAGCACGAGAGTGAGCATTTTGTCATTTCCAATAGCCATTGTTCTCCTACGGAATAATAGTTTGGTGGAGATTGTTAGAATAGCCTGTAGTCGAGGGACACAGCTATTGCTTTAGAAAGTATGTGCGGGAGCACAGGAACCTTAAAGATGAGTCCCTCTCCCCCCACCTAATCCATCCACTTGCCTCTCACATTTCTGTAGCTGCCTTGATCCTGTGCATTGGGCAGGGCAGGGCGTTTATGTCCCCTCTGTCACCAGAGTGCAGCCAGCTCTGGAGTGGACATCTCAGTGGCCCAGAGCTGCCCAGGTCTGAGTGAGGAGAGATCTAGAGAGGATAAATCATGTTGATGCTGGAGATGGCGGGCAAGACACAGCTTTCTCTTGTCAACGTTAGAACGCAGAGGTAAAAAGAAATGCACAGTCACTCCAAGCTGGTCTTGCCAGTAATGAGCGCTGGACCCTGCCAGAAACTCCAAAGGCTGAAACAAGGGCTGACCAACTCCCAGATGTGCATGTGCAAAGCTTGAAACTAGACTCACACCTACAGCTTCAGAACAACAGCCCTGCTGCCCCCAGGAAGCCTCTCCTGGGAGCCCCGTGGTGTTCCTTCCCTGTCTCCTGAGCTCTGCGTCCATTCCCCATCTTGCTGTGTGTCACCCTGCAGTGTTGTCTGGACAGCCAGCTGGGCGGGGGGAGGGAGAGGGGAGGGAGAGCAAATGGGTTTAGGTTTCGGCAGATTGACCTCGGTTTCTTCATCATGCAGTGCTCCAACTGTGGTCTCAATATATATTTTGGGATGATTAAAAAAAAAAAAACTAGTAGTAACAAAACAAAACAAAACAACAGCCCTGGAGAGGCTTCAGGCTTTGCTGATTTTCCTTCCATTCCCTTCCATCCGATTCTTCAAATTTATGGAGTTCATTTTAAGTTCAGCTCCCTGCTCTCTGTGAAGGATTAGTACACTGCTTTGCTCAGCATGGTCTGCACAGGGCTGCGGGAGGGTGGTCTGAGGGCGCCTCACACCCAGGCCCTTCTGATAGAGGCTTCTCTGAAAGCAGGTGGGGACACCGCAGACAGCAGGAGGGGCCGCCGGCACACCGAGACAATCACTGGCTTTGTGTACCCTTTGCTTGGTGTAATATTGGGCCAATTTGCCTTCTCCCTTCTCCACTTGATGCTCCACGCCTAGCCTGGTAGGTGCTACCTCAGCATGTGAATGTGTCCCTGAGGGCCACTCAGTGTGTCTGCTGCACAGGCTGGTTTGGGGATGAGGAAGCCAAATAGCAATCTCCTCCCTGACTATCCTGGACACAAGTGAATGTCTGTGATCTGCCAGATCAGCCAGCAGCCAACTCTCTGGTTAAGGTCAAGCCACGTGGACTCAGTCAGTCCAGGAGCTGGACCCCGAGTTTGTGATTCATGTGTCGTATCATGTTCTGCCTGTGTCTTCTGTCGAGAGACACTTCTGGTCTTCAGACAAAAGCTATGGACTTCAGGAGCTTAGGAGCTCAGGAGTCCCCACTGCGCTCCAGGCAGTGTGCTTTGCACTTGTGAGTTAAGTATTAACTTCCCACTTTACAGAGGAAGAAAGGTGGAAGTAAAGGAAATTGTCTTAGGCCACCCAGTTTGTTTGAGGTATGAGGGGGATTAAAATCCACATCTCCCAGGCTCCAAAGCCAACCTGACCGATAGGGTGAACAATGCTATCTTCTGCAGTACATCCCCCTGAAGACTGGGCAGTCTTCCCCTCTGAATAACAACAGGAAGAATCAGTGTAGTTACTTATTAGTGAATGAATGCATTTAATATAAAATATATTCTTAAATGGATCACATTCAAAAAACGTCTAGCTTTGACTTATAATCATGTGGTACGCGAGGCCAGTCTGGACAGTCCGTAGGATGACTCATGTTTGCAGTCACTTGGCAAAAGCACAACCCAACTCTGCCTGCTCCACACCTGCGCCTGTGCACCTGGCGGGGGCTGAGGAAAACCTCACTGTGTGGGGCCTCACTTCACGTTCATGGGCACCAACCTCACCTTGGCCCGTCAGTGCTGCCAGCAGTCACCCGTGTTTCCTGGTCTCTCGGACCCTCCCGCTTTCTCAGATAACAGTTTCATGTGTCTGCTCTCTCCTGGAGCCGGCTACCTGCCTCTGACCCCACACGCTGACTTCTCTTCTGTTGCCGTGTCTGTGCTCCTAACTAGAGCCAGCCTTTCCATGTGTGCACGAAGTCCCCTATAAAGATGTCACTTTAGCAGTTCACCCTTTTCTTTCCTACACCATTAACCTTCCCCTGTCTGCTGGATCTTTCACAGCAGTGTGAAAACTCACTGCTGCTGCTTCCGTCTTTATAAGAAAAGAAAAAAAAAAAATCCCTCCTCGCTGGCTGCTCCTCCTTCTCGCCTCCCTCTCCGCATCCCAGGCATCTGGCCTTGTCTCAGGCTCTTCTAGCCTCACTCCCTTCCTCACTGACTTTCAGAGCT